TTTGAGCAGGGGGTTGGACTAGATACCTCCTGAGGTCCCTTCCAACCCTGATATTCTAGGATTCTATGTCCAGAGCCGGCCACATAACCCAGACCCCCTCACTTGGCCCCCCCAGGGATGGGGCTGGCTCTGCATCTTTCACCCCATTTCCTGGCAGCTCACCCCATCCTTGAGTCCCAGCTGCAAAGTGGACACAGGTACTATCTCTAGGGCCACAGCAGGTGCAGAGCAGATGTGGGGGGAGAGGGGAGCAGAGCTGGGAGCCCCAGGAGGAGTCTCTGACCTGCTGCCATGCAGAGCTCCCAGAGCACCACTAGCTGCAGCAGACTTTGGGGAGGGGCCTCCAGCTGGACCTGTGACCCCAGGCGGGCAGAACGCAGCCTGGCTGCTGGGAGGGTTAGACTCTCGCTCAGCTCTAGAAGGGGATGGGGCAACTCCCCCAGGCACGCCCTCCCCACTGCCCCCACGGGGTTTGGAGCAATGTCACTTACAGCCTTGGTCCTCTGAGACTATGGGCTGTGTCTGGGCGTATGGCGGCTGCATATACGGCCCTGATGGATACGGCCCCTGAGGATACACGCCTGCTGGTGGATATGGCCCCTGAGCATACGGGGCCGGTGGGTACGGCCCAGGCCCTTGAGGGTACGGGCCCTGCGGAAAGCCCGGCTGGTTGTAAGGTCCTGGCTGGAACTGGGGCTGTGGATAGGGTGCTGCTGGGTAGGGGGGCTGTGCGTAGGCTGGCGGGGCAGGAGGCTGCTGCCCAGGGAAGGCAGGGCTTGGAGCGGGGAAGCCATCGCCCGACACCAGGAAGCTCTTCTCGTGGGACATGTTCCCAGGCGCTCACTGCCGCTTCAGTGCTGAGGAGAAAACACACGGAGAGGGCGTTAGAGGCCTAGCTCCTGAGTCCCCCCACTGCCAGCCAGTCACAGCCCGAGGGGACCCCCAAAGCTCAGCATCCCAGGCACCCCCTGGACCCATCCTTTCCGGAGCGGACAGGACTGGATGCCCCTCCCCCCACCCATCGCCCCATGCCCGCCTGCCCCACGGCTGCCTCCACCCCACCCCCCATCACCACAAGCTCCCTCCCCGCCGGCAGCTGCCTCCACCACCCACGCAGCTGCTTCCACCCTCCACCCACCTCCATCACCCCATGCCCCCACCCCCACAGCTGCCTCCCCCAGCCCACCCCCCAATGTCCCCCACACACAGCTGCCTCCCCCTCCCATCACCCCATGCCTCCCCACCGCTGCCTCCCCGGCCCCCCCAGCCTCACTCAGGGGGCCCACGTCACCCGCCCGTGAGGTGGGCCCTGCTGGCAGCAGTCTCTGCTAGGGAGCAGGCTGACCCAGTTCCTGCGGCTCCGTCGCCACGGTAACCAGGGCCTAGCGCCAGCTTTCCCTCCCAAGCTCAGGCTTGATCGGGCCAGGCCGGAGACGGGTGTGGGGCAGCGGCAGGGCCGGCGTCTGCCCTGCGGAGCCTGGGGGGGCTGGGGTGACTCCCCTAGAGCCCAGCCCAGCCCCCGTTCCCAACTGGGGCCCCACTGCTCAGCTCTGCCTCCGGGCCTGCCCTGGCACCCAGCCACTCCGACTCCCGCTCCGCTGCCCAGGCTCCAGACCTGCCTCTGAGGCCCCCTTGCTCCCACCCGGGCCCAGCCCTGGCACCTGCCAGCTCAGAGGGAAAGGGGGCGCCTGGCGGGGGGCACAGGGATCTGGGGAGGGCCTTTTGTTCAGCTGCCACGCGCGAGCTGTTCCTCTCTGCTCCCCATGGGGCTCTGCCCAGCTCCATGCTCCTGGCAGCCCCCTTCCCTCCTGGCTGCAGAGCGTCCCCCGAGGGCACACAGCAGCCGGGACTGGGCAGGGGAGGCCAGGTGCTGGAGCCGGGCTGGCCGTACAGCGGAGCCCCCAGCAAGGAGCAGGATCGAGCTGCTGACGCCTGGCAGGCCAAATGGAAGGCCCTACTGGGCCAGCTCTGGCTGTCAGGGGGCTGCCTTGGGGCTAGGATGACCAGATCGTGTGAAAAATCAGGATAGGGTGGGAGGGGATAAACAGGCACCTATAGAAGACAAAGCCCTGAAATATCACAACTGCCACTATAAAATCAGGACATCTGGTCATGCTACTCAGGGTGCCCTGTGACTGCACGGGTGGCAGGTGCCTGCACTGCCCAGAAGGTCCGTCTAACAGCCCGCAGGACAGCGGGGCTCGGGGGGTTTTCAGAGACCCAGTGGAACTCAAGGTGTGTCTACACAGCCGTTTTCCAAGCGCTAGCCCAAGCCCGGCTGGGGCTGGGAGGCTGCTGCACGGGCTGCCGAGGCACCTTGGGCAGCCACAGCTCAGGATGGGCAGGAAGGGCCCCAGGTAGAGACACGCTCCGCGAGGAAGCCCCAAGCACTCAGCACACACCAGGACACGCTCTTTGGGCTAGCCCTGGCCAGAGACCCCAGCCTAGGCAGGGCGGCTGACCACCCTCCCCAGGTTAGGGCTGGGCCCAGCCCGCTGCAGGAAAGCTCCTTCAGCCCTCCCCAGCAGCTGGGTCTGCTCTGGCTTGTTAGTTTGACTTCAGAGGAGGAGTCCCAGAGTGTGAGTGTGGGAGCTCACAGCCCCCCGCCAGAGGGGCAGGGGTGCTGCCTCATTAAACAGAGAGCGACCCCCATGCCCAGCCTGGAGCTGTTACTCAGGCCTCCCTCCCTCCCTCAACAGCTGACAGCGACCCAGCCCCCAGCAGGGCAACACCCCTTCTTGTAAACACCAGGGCTCATTTATCAGGCAGCAGTAGGAGCTGGGAAATCCCATCTAATTCCCAGC